TGCTATATAAATAAACTTGCCTTGCCTTGATTCTCTAATAATCCTCGCTGCAGGCCATGGTTTGATGCTTGCTTTTTGTAACTGAACACATCTGATACTTTTTCAAATGCTGCCTAAACGTCGTATCTCGCAGCCCGTACACGATGGGACTGACAAACCTGGGGAGGATCTGCACGATGATATAACTCATGAAGAGAGCATGTGTAAAGTGTTGAGGGAACCAGTTATACAGAGCCTTGTTTATCGTATGTGAGACGTACGTTAGCATACACAACAGCAGCTGAAAGCCATGGAGCAGGATTGTATTTTTGGCTTTCTTTGCATCTCCGTTACCCGATTTAGCTGATTTAGCAGCTAGAAAGATCTTAAAGTAAGTGAAAAGGAGAGTGAGCCAGACAAAGATTAGGTATATTATGTAGGAAACATCCCGCTTTTCAAGGATCACAGGGTGTCGGAACAGGTTGTCCTTACTACATACAATGGTGGAGTAAAACAGCTCTATGGGCTCTGTAGCCAGAATAATAAACACATCTGGCATCGTTACGACCGCACTCAAAGTCCACATCCAACCAATCAGAATATAAATCCTTTGAATGGTGCATAGCTCAGCGTGCCTCAGAGGTAAACAGATAGCGATGAAGCACTCCACCGCCATCACGGCCAGGTTTATCGGGGTGTTGAGTGTGGTGAAGACAGAGCAGAGGATGATGAAGCAGCATAAAGACACATTGATTTTGTAGAAGACGTAGCTGAAGACAAACAGGCTGATGGTGGAGGTCAGCTGGATCATGTCGTTCACCACCAGGTGGATGAAGAGGATGTAGCGGGGGTTGATGTGGAATATCTGCGGGAAAAGAGATTTCAGCGGACTTGTTTCTGTCCTGCAGTGATGAAGGTAGATGAAATACTGTGTAAATGTGACTTTAATTCACCTATAATGAAAGTGAACAATTCAAACTAACACAGGGGTTTCAGAAGTAAGTGCATTTGTAGTTTTGGTCAAAATTACTTTGCAATAGTGAGAAAAATGTAATAACAAAGACATAAGAAATGACAGTAAAGTTTGCTTCAATACCTTTTGTTAGAAACACTAAAATCTCATTAGAAAGTCTGTGTGGAAATTGTTGAAGATGAATAGTCGGTTTGTCGTACAGTATATACAATGAAGGCAATCTTTAAAAAAAAAAAAGGATAAATAATGAAGCCGACAAATGTACATATACTTACATTTTAATTTGAATAATTTTACATTTTTTATTTAAATACGTCAAAAGAATTGATTGGCAGAAGAGCGTTCATGTTCAAAGCCCCAACTGACTGGAATACTTGACCTGCTGCCATTAGATCTCTTGCATCATTGGGTTTATTTAAACATGCATTGTTATCTCACCTTCAACTGGTTTGCACTTGTTATAACTGATATTAATGAAACTGATTTGCTTGACTGTCTCAAATTGTAATGATTGTGTGCATTGCTTGAATTTCACTGAACAGACTGTACGTGGTTTGTCTTGTGTGTCATGTTTTGCTTTTTGTCTATGTATGTCTGTAAGTTGTTGCTATTGTCGGGACCCCCTTGAAAACGAGATGGTGCATCTCAAGGGGTTTATCCCAATCAATACAAATGTCTATGTATAAATGTATTGAATTTAAAACATTTCAAAAACAATAATTAAAAATATGTTATGGTGATTGTAATGTTGTTGTGTCCAGGAGAGGATTAGGGCCAAATGACACGTATTATTTAATGAATGCAGCATGTGTTTAAAGCCAACAGAGGTTACAGTAATAATGAATAGAAAACACATTATAATACAGCAATAAAGCTCAGACATAAGAATGCAATCAATGGATATCATATTGTTCTGCATGCATATGGTATAGTGAATGCAGTATAAGATAAGATAGGACTTTATTTATCCCGAAGGAAATTGTTGTGCCAGAGTAACAACAATACACACAGCAGCATAATAGTACAAGTGTACACTAACAGTGCAGTAAAAAGAGCATTTAAATAACTACAGGAAACACAGACGGTCACATAATTAATGTAAATATCACCAGTATTTTAGTAGTGCTAAAATAAAACGTAGTGGCAGATAATTGCACGTTATCATAGCATATTATTAACAATAATAATATTGCAATGATATAGCAGCGAGTGTATTGTATTGAGTGTATGTATGTATATATATAAAAACAAGCAAAGAGAGGTTAGAATAATAATCAATATGATAGAAAACATAATAGATATTACTTTCCTTGCACTATTTCTATTCTAATTTATTTACTTGCACTATTTTAACTATTTCTATCAGTGTTATTGTGTTGCGCTGTTGGAGGAGCTACGATTGTAATTGATATTTCTACACTGTAGCTATGTAACACATGACAATAAAAACCTTACATCTTTAAAAATGTAGATAACTCGTACCCGGTGTTTCCTGAAGGTGTGTATCAGAGTACCGTTGATGTAGTTGATGATGAGGCCCAGAGCCACGACAATCACATTTTTAGCCACAGCCGTACTGAAGGAGTCTCGATTTCTCCCAACAATCGACACATTAAGAAAGCCAAGAGACGAGGAATTCATTTTGAGGATCCTGTGCCAAAAGTGAACAATTCAAACTAACACAGGGGTTTCATAAGCAGGGCATTTGTAGAAAAATGAAAATGACTTTGCATAGTGAGAAAAATGTAACAACAAAAACATACAAAATGACAGTCAATTCAAACATTTAATGGTATTTAATTGAAACTATAACTTCAACTAATAATCCTAATCATCACATTATTAAGTAGAGCTTTTGTTACATTTGAGCAGACTTGACTGAAGATAGAACATGTTTTTCTTATGTTTATGTGAATGTGAAGTTCAAAGCCTTAGGCCTACTTTATTTTTTGTACCAACAGCAACTACTTGGTTATGCACAGAGAATAAAGTGAATCTACAATCAATCAACAGTTCCTTTATTCTTGTTCATAAGAAACACCTTTGCACGGGTCTTAAATATTTCACAAGGTTAATGAAATATTTCCTATCAATACTAGGTCACATATGAAGTATAGTAGATAACCTTTTTCAAAATGAGACTGGCACACTTTTACATTAAGCATTCGATCACTTAGGAGAAAGTTAAAGGTGTTACTAAATGCAACATAAGACGAATAAAGAGTTATAAATATATGGATTACAAACATTATAGCATTTCGTTTTTTAGATGAGCTATTATTTTCTTTTAAAAGGCACATTAACAGTTTTCTTTCAATTGTATTTTTGCAGAAGAAGCCATGAGCCGGACTATAATATGTTAATACAGTTCAAAAGGATTGCAGTTCAATAAACAACACCATGATAATATGTTAACAGTATGAGAGCATTAATGACCTCCTTACCTCAGCTTGTAACTCCACCTCGATCAGAGATGAAGGAGCCTGAAATCTGTTTCATCGTTTTATAGAAAGCAAGATGATCATAGACAGATTATTGGACCACGAGCTGCCAGTCAGAACAAGGAGAACACCCTCTTACATCAGTGAAGGTTAACTCTAGTTGTATGGAAAAAGTAGAAGTACTGATTCAACTTTTTACTTAAGTAAAAGTACAAAACTAAAGTCTCTGAAATGTACTCACAGTAAAAAGTAACTTTTAAACTGGCTGTTTGTGTGCAAAGCTAACTGAACCTTACATCATATTAACATAATATAATATAAGTGAAAAGGAGCTTCATTTAAACTTTCATTACTAACAACTAAAACAAAGTACCTGTATTTGCTGTCGCCAACATTGTAGATGGGTTACTTTGCCGTAATTTAGGCCTAAACAAATCAAACACAAATGATGATAGTGCATTCGCTACAAATCATTTTTCTGCGCCCACAAATTCAAACATCTCCCGTAGTAAGGCCATGGATGCGATGTCTTAATGGTGGTCTGATGAATCGCCTCCGTCAATGTTATCTTCATTTTCAGTCCTTTCGCTGACTGTACTAGCGTTACTCTTGGACATTATGCCGTTAGACCTTTCTCCCGTCTCTGCCAAGCTGTTTCGTCACACGTCTTTTACGTCTTTTACGTTGTTTACGTCTGTCTTGCATGATCTGCACGCCATGGCTCGTCTTCTCTACGTGTTATTGTCACAACCATTTAGTTTTAAATCAGTCTTGATGTCGGGGAAGGCCCGCAATGATGCAAAATACAAATAATTGATCATTCACCTCACATGCATTAAAACTAAAGTAACGAGTCTGTTTGGAAAATGTAAGAAGTAGAAAGTACAGATATTTGTGTTAAAATGTAGGGAGTAAAAGTAAAAAGTACAGATACCGGAAAAATCTACTTACAGTAATGAAGTAGAAATACTTTGTTACTTCCCACCTCTGGTGATTTGATACCAAAACATGAAACATATATACGTTTAAACGTCTTCTTTTAAAAAGACAAAGGTGTGGACCAAAACAGGAAAGATTTGCAATTTTAAAGGGGGGTTTTAGTGCATGTAAATGGTCTGCAAAGGCTAACATCGCTAGGCTAAAAATGTGTTTCCGTATCTCTGTTTTAGGTATATTTAGTACATTAACTATATACACTTCATCACGAAGGACACTATCGGATGGTTCTACACCCTGATGAGTTTAAAGAATGTTTTTTTATTTGACTGAATAAGACAATACTCATACATGCTTTTAGAAAACAATTTACAGTTTGAAACACCGTAAACATTCGGTCATAAGATTTTGGAAGCAAGGATTGACAAAAAGTAATCAAGGTCAGTGTAATCAATTTAAAGTATAGCTCCAACAAGCAGGAACAAATGCAATATCAGAGTTTCCCAACTGCATAAGAACACACTTTTTAGTCGGATAAGTACGGCTCAATCTCAGTAAATGATGGTGTTTATTTATTTACCATTAAAGGGACAATAATTATGTTGCAAGGAAGCTTGGAGTTGCACAAACTTTCTTCTTCCTTTGTTGGAAAGAGAATGTTTTCTGCCGACTCAACACGATAAATGCTTCTTGAGGTACTTTCTGAAAGCCTTGTCTCGTAGACCGTAGATAATCGGACTGATCGATCGTGGCAGGACCTGGATAAGAATATAATAAGCAAAGAGGATGTCTGTGGAGTTCTGAGGAAACCTTTGCATCAGAACATCTCGAAGCTGCGGGGCTACATATGTTAGCATGCAGAGAAGCAGCTGAAACCCATGGAGCAGGACTGTGTTCCTGGCTTTTTTAGCATCTTCGCTAGCTGTTTGAGCAGTGGAGAGAATTTGGAAGTAAGCGTAAAAGACAGTAGTCCAAACTGTAACAAGCAACAATATATATGTGATATCTCTCTTCTCCAAGATGATGGGATTTGCGAAAACATTTTCCCTGAGGCAGAAAACCTTTGAATGAAAGAAGTCCAGTGGCACTGTGGCCAAAGTGATGAAGAGGTCAGGGAGACAAGACAACATGGTGGTCGTCCAGATCAGACCAATCAGAATCAGAGTTCTCTTGATGGTACAGATATGTGCGTGGCGTAGTGGGAAACAAATGGCGATGAAGCATTCCAGCGCCATGCAGGCCAGATTCAGAGGCGTGTTAAAATCGGTGAAAATAGCAAACATGAGGATAATGGAGCAGATGGAGACATTGATCCTGTGGATGGTGTAGCTGATAACGAAAAGCAGGAGGGTCAACGCAGGGGCGGACTGGCCATCGGGAATACCGGGAGTTTCCCCGGTGGGCCGGTGCAGTGCATGGGCCGGAGGGCCAAAACAATAAATAAATTAAAAAATATATATATATATTTTTTTTTTTTTTTTTTTTTGCCTAAATCCTACCGGCCCATATTTGTGAGTATACCGGCCACTCCCTTTTTTTTTTTGCTTAACTAAATCCTACCGGCCCACATTTGTAAGTGCCCACATTTGTAAGTGTTCCGGGCCGGCCACTCCCCATCAGGCCCGTAGCAGCTGTCACTGCGCAGTGAAAGATCAGGAGTGAGTTACTGATGGATAAACAAGCTCCAAAGCGTAAAGGAGGTGCACAAAAACTTAGGGATAAAAAAATGAAAGCACTTGAGGAAGGTTCAGAAAAATCAAAAAAAATTACAGACTTTTCGTTTGGTCCTGCAGCTGGTTGTAGTTGTAGTACAACCACCACCGGAGAAGCTGATGTAACGTTAGCCGACACAGCGGCCATTCCCAGTGGCAGTGAGTCAAGCAATGAAACTGACACAGTACAGCGGCATCTAGAGCCCAGTACCAGCAGTGATATGATGGTAAGTTAATGTTATGATTGATGCTGAAAGTGAAAATCCTCATTTGGCTAATGCTAGCTTGCATTTTAATGTAGCAGATGAGGTAATATTAGCTAGCTAGCCTATTTCTAGCTAGCTAGGCTATTGCCTACAGTACATTGTGTGTTCACAGGGACAGGGTAAAATTAACACCATTCACTGACCAAATTCTGGTGAAATATGCAAGCTGCTGGTAGATTTGCTTCCCTCATTGACAACGGTAATCTATTTGAACATTATAGCCACTTGACTTGGGCTGGTGAATCAATGAGACTACGATGATTGCTTATACTGTCTTTTGTTTGATTAGCTTAGACGTTAGGTTACCTTATTAATACTACAAATAATAAAGGGTCCATTATTTGTCAACCTGCAACTAAAGTTACTGTCTGGTGGAAATTAGCCTGTTACTGTCTTTAAGACTTTACTTGGTTTACATACATAATAATAACATGGTGGTAACATAATAACGTAACATACTAATCAATACTAATCATTTATGTAGGCTGAAGATGATCCTGCTGCTGACACTGACAGAGTTAGTCAAGGCCAGGATGTCAGTGCCACCCCAGTTGATTATTTCACCAGGCCGATGTCAGGCACATTAGACCTATTCTTCCGTTTTCACCCCCAGCAGAAGGCAGACAAGGCTGTAGTGCAGAGGGCTTTTTTTTGCAAAGACGGCACAAACAGGAAATAGCTATCATACAGTGAAGCCAGAGAAGTACTCTTCTGCTCCCTTTGTATGGCTTTTGCTAATCCTAGAGATAGCAACTCCTTCATCACTGGCATGACCAACTTCACACACATACATCAGAGAGTCGAGGAGCATGAGCAGAGCCATGCTCACAGAGGTTGCGCTGAGGCATATTTCCTCAGATTCTCAAAAAACACAATTCAGGACCTTCTCATGGGACCTCAGATGTCACGTCACAGAGAGGAAGCGTCAAGTGTTGGAGCGCATCAAAGATGTGTTGAAGCTCATTGGTCAAAGTGGTTTGAGCTACAGTGGCACGCAGGCGGAGGCATTATATACACAAGATGATGACACCATTGATCATGGTAACTTTTTAGAGATGATTGTTTTGCTGGGAAAATATGATGTGTGTCTCAAGGAACACCTCACTCTCTGTACAGAAAAGAGCAAGCAAATACACCAGTCTGGTTTAAGACAAGGTAGAGGTTCCCTTGTCACTCTCCTATCCAAAACAACCATCAACTACATCATCACCACCATCCAACGCCTAATGAAGGCCACCATCGCCACTGAAGTCCGGGAATCTGGCATGTATTCTGTCCAGATTGACACCACACAGGACATCACAGCCCAAGATCAGTGCTCTGTTGTCATACGATATGTGACAGACATTGTTCATGAGCGACTTGTTGCTGTGATTAAATGTGAGGCATTCACTGGGCAGTACTTTGCACAACTTGTTGTGCATGAAGTACTGGAGACCATGAAACTGGATGTGAGGCAGTGTATTGGAAATTCCACCGATGGGGCCTCCAATATGCAAGGCCAATATAAAGGCTTCTCTGCACTGCTCGCCAAAATGTCCCCCACCCATGTCCATGTATGGTGCTACGCACACGTCCTGAACCTCGTCCTGGCAGACACAACACAATGTGTATTGGCAAGTGGGTCACTTTTTTCCCTGTTGAACAACATCGCTGTCTTCATCAGAGAGTCCTACCAGAGGATGAACATCTGGGAGAAGGAGAGCAAAGACCCAAGACACAGACGTCTCGCCCCGATTGGAGAGATACGCTGGTGGTCCAAAGACGTTGCTGTGACTAAGGTATTTGGCTCTTTTGGAAAGCCAGATAATGCCCTGTATGTTGATGTCCTTCATACCCTCTCCGCCATTCAACATGGACAGACCATCAACGCCACTGCACGGGTCAATGCACGTGGATACATCACCCAGCTTCTGAGGTATGAAACAATACTTACAGCTCAGATCTTCCTGAGAATTTTCCAGGTCACCTCACCAGTCTCAAAATACCTTCAGAAAAGTGGAATGGACATCCTGACAGCTCATCGGATGAGTGTGGCTGCAGAAACACAGCTGAAAGATATGACCAGAGACTTCGAGAAAGTCAAGACGGCGGCCGCCACATTCGTCCAGTGGGCCAACAATCAAACAGAGGAGCAGAGTGAGGAGACTGAGCTGGAGGTTGAGGCCGCTCTGCCACAGAAACGGGGTAGAAAGAAGAAAACCATGCCTGGAGAGATGTCCAAGGATGAGGCTGTGACTGATGCTGAAACATCATACAAGATTGATGTCCATAATCAAATCATGGACACAGTCACAGGAAGCATGCACCAGCGCTTCCTCAAAAATGGCACTTTGTATGCTGATTTGGCACTTCTGGCCCCAAAAAGATTCAACCAGGTAACATCTTATGCTGGTGGTTTCCCAGAGGCAGCACTCCAAGAATTAAGCAAGTGCTTGCTGCCATTTGATGACAGAGCAACGGTGGCCAAATTACAGAGTGAGCTCATCAGTCTGGCAGGACAGTGGAATAGGTTGAAGACATCTGTATTTGAGGAATACACAACCAAGACAACAGAGGCTGGGCCAGAGGATGCTGAAGATGAAGCGGAGATGGTATATAAAAAGTGCTCATCTTGCAAGGACTGCCCATTGTGTTGCTACCGTATCCTTAAGCAGTACAATCTCCTGACAGATGCATACCACATCATTGGCCTTGCATACAGGTTCCTGCTTACCCTGTCTGTCACACAGGTAGCATGCGAGCGAAGCTTTTCAACACTAAAATTAATCAAAAACAGGCTCAGGAGCTCGCTCTCTCAACAGAACCTGGAGTCCTTTATGCTCATGGCTACTCAACCAGATGTTTTGAAGATGCTGGATAGTGACCAAATTATAGATGGTGTTGCAGAGAAAAGTGAGCTGCTGCAGAAACTACTAATTCAGTGAGGTAATATGTAGTAATACATTTACATTTATTACTATGTGACTTCCCAATCTTGACACTAATAAATTAGTGATTATTGCAGACTATTAAACAACATTAAAAACATGACATTTGTTCTAATGAAGGCTTCAGGTGGATGTCAGTATCTCTTCGATAATGTGTAAATAACATGCATATATGTTTCTCACCCATAGACCACCCTATTTTTTCCAGAGGGGACTGACTTCTACAACCTTGCTCCCAATGTCAAAATCAACCACTTCAACCCAGCCTCCTCCTTTTAAAAGCAACACATGGATGAGCTCACTTATAGACCCAAAAGGGTAGAGAGGGAAGTATTGACAAGGCTTATTGTTTATAAGTATGTTGCCCTGCCCTCTAGTGTTTTTTTTTTTTGTGTATGTGTATACAGTATACAGTATTGTAGCGAGCCCTGGGTTCAGAGGGAGGGGCTTGCATAGGGGAGGGGAGGGGAACGGGGTTCAGGGGGAGTGGCTGCACCCGTAGGATAGAAAAGGGGGAAGTGACGTCTGACTCAGAGGTCGCACGGCTGTGGAGAAGAACGTTGATTCAGAACCCACATTCTGTTACTGAGTTTAGGCTAGTTAGCTAGCAGGTTTATTGTTCTGGGTGCAGTCACTTTTGCCTCCACTTGCTGTTCAAATAAATGTTGAAAGAAAAAGTAAATCTGTTTACAGTTCTGTTTCATATTGGTGTTGAGAGATGTATCCATAGCTTTAGTCCCTAATGTTGCTCTCAAAGTGCAGCAGATTGATGCATTTAACTTCAACATTTTAAAACGAATCTTCCCGGGGGAGCTTGCCCCCGGACCCCCCTAGAGGAGGTGAGGTCCACCACCTGCCCACACCCCCTGTCAAATTGTCTCACCCACATTGAGGATGCTTCCTACCCCCATGTTTTATTCCATGCGTCAAGTCAGGAAAATTGGGTCCAAATGTTATTGCATCAATGATCTGTTAACATTAAAATCACTAAATATATGCTGTAACTATTTTGCTTAGGCAACTCAAGGGCTCAGGTAATGTGATGACTATATGAATAATGGTCCAAAATAACATAAAATGCATAGGGTTTTTTGTTAAGTAACATACTTTCGTCGCCGGCCGGCCGATACATGCCGCGCATTAAGTGGGCCTGTCTGTCAATTAATCCCCGGGCCACTTTTCCCCCCCAGTCCGCCCCTGGGTCAACGTGATCTGGATCATATCGTTGATCACCAAGTGAATAAAAAGGATATATCGTGGAGTCATGTAGAAGATCTGGGTTGAATGAAAGGAGAGGAAACATTTAACATCATTAATGACATGTGATCTAGTTTATAACTGTCACGATTATTTTGTTGTGTCACGGTTTTTAGTTTGTGTGTCTGGTAGTGGGTGTTTTGCTTTTCTCCTTGTCATGTTTTCCTCCCTGTGTATTGTCTGGTCTTTCTCCCCGTGTTTTCCTGTCTGTCAGTTTCCCTGGTGTGTCTAATGTCCTGATTGTTTTCACCTGTCACCCCTTCTGTGTCTCCTGTGCTCATCAGTGTCAGCCCCGCCCCTGATTGTTCCCACCTGTGTCTTGTTACCCTGTGTTTAAATTCCCCTGTCTCCCAGTGTTCAGTGTCAGTTCGTTTTTGTCTTGTCATGTTCAGATCTTTGCTCTCTTTTAGCTATTGTAAAGTTTTGTTCCTCACCACGTGAGCGATTTTCATTTTGTTCTTATTTTTGTCATCTCAGCTAGAGATTCAATAGTGACTTTTTTTGTTCCTCTTGCCTGTTTTTTGGAATAATAAAGTATCTTACCAATACTTTACCTCTGTCTCCCGGGTCGTGCAATTCGGTCCTACTTCCTAAGTGCCTGAGTTCTTAACAATAACCAGAGATGGCAAAAGTACACACAACCTTTACTCGAGTAGAAGTACAGATACTCGTGTTTAAAAATGCTCTGGTAAAAGTAGAAGTACTGACTAAGCTTCTTTACTCAAGTCAAAGTAAAGAGGGCTTTGAAATGTACTTCAGTAAAAAGTACCCATAACTAGCAGCTGTTTGAAAGAGTACCTGACCTCCCTTTATATTAATAGAACAATAATGTCATTGTTAGCTAATGAATGTTTCCATGCTGAACAACGGCAACATGACAACGTTTCCATTGGTCCCTCTTCTTTAGAGAAGACCAGGAAATGATGGATACACGGATCGTGTTCAAATCAATAGGCACGCAATGACTCTAAAGAATAATGATCACGCATCAAACACACATTCAGACTAAAGGAACCAGCTGTTTGGGAAATGAGAGAAGTAGAAAGTACAGGTATTTGAGTTCAACATGTAAGAAGTAGAAAGTACAGGTATTTGAGTTCAACATGTAAGAAGTAAAAGTATAGGTATTTGTGTTCAACATGTAAGAAGTAGAAAGTACAGGTATTTGAGTTCAACATGTAAGAAGTAGAAAGTACAGGTATTTGAGTTCAACATGTAAGAAGTAGAAAGTACAGGTATTTGAGTTCAACATGTAAGAAGTAGAAAGTTCAGGTATTTGAGTTCAACATGTAAGAAGTAGAAAGTACAGGTATTTGAGTTCAACATGTGAGAAGTAGAAAGTACAGGTATTTGTGTTCAACATGTGAGAAGTATAAAGTACAGGTATTTGAGTTCAACATGTAAGAAGTAGAAAGTACAGGTATTTGTGTTCAACATGTAAGAAGTAGAAAGTTCAGGTATTTGAGTTCAACATGTAAGAAGTAGAAAGTTCAGGTATTTGAGTTCAACATGTAAGAAGTAGAAAGTTCAGGTATTTGAGTTCAACATGTAAGAAGTAGAAAGTACAGGTATTAGTGTTCAACATGTAAGAAGTAGAAAGTACAGGTATTTGGGTTCAACATGTAAGAAGTAAAAAGTACAGGTATTTGGGTTCAACATGTAAGAAGTAGAAAGTACAGGTATTTGGGTTCAACATGTAAGAAGTAGAAAGTACAGGTATTTGAGTTCAACATGTAAGAAGTAGAAAGTACAGGTATTTGGGTTCAACATGTAAGAAGTAGAAAGTACAGGTATTTGGGTTCAAAATGTAAGAAGTAGAAAGTACAGGTATTAGTGTTCAACATGTAAGAAGTAGAAAGTACAGGTATTTGGGTTCAATATGTAAGAAGTAGAAAGTACAGGTATTAGTGTTCAACATGTAAGAAGTAGAAAGTACAGGTATTTGAGTTCAATATGTAAGAAGTAGAAAGTACAGGTATTTGGGTTCAACATGTAAGAAGTAGAAAGTACAGGTATTTGGGTTCAATATGTAAGAAGTAGAAAGTACAGGTATTTGGGTTCAACATGTAAGAAGTAGAAAGTACAGGTATTTGGGTTCAATATGTAAGAAGTAGAAAGTACATGTATTTGTGTTCAAAATGTAAGAAGTAGAAAGTACAGGTATTTGTGTTCAAAATGTAAGAAGTAGAAAGTACAGGTATTTGGGTTCAATATGTAAGAAGTAGAAAGTACAGGTATTTGGGTTCAATATGTAAGAAGTAGAAAGTACATGTATTTGTGTTCAAAATGTAAGAAGTAGAAAGTACAGGTATTTGAGTTCAACATGTGAGAAGTAGAAAGTACAGGTATTTGTGTTCAAAATGTAAGAAGTAGAAAGTACAGGTATTTGAGTTCAACATGTAAGAAGTAGAAAGTACAGGTATTTGTGTTCAACATGTAAGAAGTAGAAAGTACAGGTATTTGAGTTCAACATGTAAGAAGTAGAAAGTACAGGTATTTGAGTTCAACATGTAAGAAGTCAAAGTAAAAAGTCGTCATAAAAATAAGTAGTGGAGTAAAGTTATGATACCAGAACAATATGAGGGGCCGTACAGGCTATAAATCATACTGGTCCTCTCACGCACATACATTCTCCTTTTACATACATATATTTTCACTCTTACATACAAACATTCTCCTTTTACATACATATATTTTATAATATGCATGTCTGAAGAGAATATATGTATGCAAGAGAAGAATGTATGTATGTGTGAAGACAATATATGTATGCAAGTGAAGAATGTATGTATGTGTGAAGACAATATATGTATGTGAGAGAAGAATGTATGTATGTGAGAGAGAAAGTATAGTGGAAACGGAAGGAGTATGGTTGAAACGGAAGGCAGGTCATTCTTGCTCTGTGATTGGCTCAGAAGGTCGAGTGGGGCGGGCTCATGTTCAGAACTTCTGATTTCAAATCAACATAACATGATGGAGGGAGATGAATCGCGTACATTGCAGCAAGCATTAGGGGTTTTAAGGAACATTTTGTCAACCCCTGAAACTGTCACATCCCTGGCCAGGTGTCCTTGCGGGTGCGTTCGCTTTACTTATCAGAGCGTGCCGTAAGGGCGGTTACTCTTTGGTTTATAAACTCCCGCCTGGGACGGACTGATGCATTATATTATGTGCTATATGGAGGGGACTTTGACAGAGTATTTCTCACAAAGTACACAGTAAAAGTACTTAAATGTATTGTTAGTAGCAGTCAAACTAGTACCGAGTCCAACAGTGTCAGATTTATGAAGAACTTGTGGTAAAATATATTTGTAAAAAGAAAATGAAGAGCTACTGATTTGAAAAAACGGCTCTCTGTAGGCTATAGTTTAAATCTCCTAACAATGTTGTCCATTTATTCTTCTCCCCTCGAGTCCAACAGTGTCAGTTTTATTAAGAACTTTCAGTAAAAAATATTTGTAAAATATGAAGCGCTACTGATTTGAAAAAACGGCTCTCTGTAGGCTATAGTTTAAATCTCCTAACAATGTTGTCCATTTTAGACACAGGCTTATTATATTTACAGCCTTAATAACATTCATTTTCTGGGCTCAATGTGTGTCTTGGCCGTTTTCGTTGTGATCGCTAAATTCACCTTGTTTCCCCTTGTTTATAATTATGTTCAACGTTCCAAGCAAACGAGTGCTTTTGTTTTGAAATCACTTCCGCGAGTATCGCCCCCCCCCCTCGCTACAATGACCATTAGACCATTTAGTAAGGTAAAAAACAAAAAGCAAAAACGCCTCGCAGACACTCTTCCGTTTACTTGTTTAATAAAGAAAAACAAGTGGTCCGTAGATACACGGAGTCATCTAACCCTAACCCTCTCCCTCCATCATGTTGATTTGAATCAGAAGTTCTGAACATGAGCCCGCCCCGCTCGACCTTCTGAGCCAATCACAGAGCAAGAATGACCTGCCTTCCGTTTCAACCATACTCCTTCCGTTTCCACTATACTTTCTCTCTCACATACATATATTGTCTTCACACATAGGCCTACATACATTCTTCACTTGCATACATATATTGTCTTCACATATACATACATTCTTCTCTAGAAGTAATATAGTAAAATATATGTATGTAAAAGGAGAATGTATGTATGTAAGAGTGGAAATATATGTATGTAAAAGGAGAATGTATGTGCGTGAGAGGACCAGTATGAATTACGGCCTGTACGGCCCCTCATAGAAAAATGTACTGAGATCTTCCAAGATGTTCAGATGACTTATTCAATGTTTATGCATGTATTTACAACTTTATCAACATACAATTCACCTAATCATAATATGATATCCAAGTACAGTGTCACAATCCTAATGTTATGTCACGTTTTTAGTTTAGTCTGTCTTATTTTGGGTGTTATTTTGCTGTTCTGTTCCCACCTGTGTCTTGTTATCCTGTCGTTAGTTTCCCTGGTGTGTCTGGTTGTCTAATTGTGTTCACCTGTTGCCCTTGTGTTTCTGCCTCCCCTGCCCGGCTGTTTCTTGTCTCGTGGTTACCCCTCCCTGTATTTAGTCTTGTCTATTCTTGTGTTCCCCTGTCGGTTCATTGTTTGTTTGTCCTCCCTCACGCTTCTTGCTTCTTCTCCTGTCTCCCTCCTTGTTGCTCACGGTCAGTTTTCTGTGTTTGTGCTACCTGTGTTTTTCATGTTATGTTTTTGTGTTTTTTCAGCTTTTAAATAAAGCTTGCTTCTGTTTATAACCTTTACCTTTTTGTTGTCTGCATTTGGGTCCTACCTTTTTCCACGATTCCTAACATACAGAATATTCCCAATGCAAGCTGTAAATGGGGTCTCAAAGCTTGAAAAATGTGTCTTTATGAAGAAATGCAACACTACAAACATCAAGCATTGAACACTTTAGATTAAAGACATGCTAGGTCAACTTTATCCCTTTTCTGTAAGTTAAGAATCACCGCTAACAATTAATGTTAATTAATGTGTTATTGAATATTAACGTCTATGGTTCATGTGGAGCTGATGATTTAAATATGAATTTCCTAAATAGTTTAAAGGTCACCTATTGTGCAAAATCAATGTATTTTCTACATCAACATGTGTCCCCTCTTCTTCATGTCTCCTCTACATCAACATGTGTCCCCTCTTCTTCATGTCTCTTCTACATCAACATGTGTCCCCTCTTCTCCATGTCTCTTCTACATCAACATGTGTCCCCTCTTCTTCATGTCTCTTCTACATCAACATGTGTCCCCTCTTCTTCATGTCTCTTCTACATCAACATGTGTCTCCTCTTCTTCATGTCTCTTCTACATCAACATGTGTCCCCTCTTCTTCATGTCTCTTCTACATCAACATGTGTCCCCTCTTCTTCATGTCTCTTCTACATCAACATGTGTCCCCTCTTTTTCATGTCTCTTCTACATCAACATGTGTCCCCTCTTCTTCATGTCTCTTCTACATCAACATGTGTCCCCTCTTCTCCATGTCTCTTCTACATCAACATGTGTCCCCTCTTCTTCATGTCTCTTCTACATCAACATGTGTCCCCTCTTCTTCATGTCTCTTCTACATCAACATGTGTCCCCTCTTCTTCAATGTCTCTTCTACATCAACATGTGTCCCCTCTTCTTCATGTCTCTTCTACATCAACATGTGTCCCCTCTTCTTCTTCTCTCTTCTACATCAACATGTGTCCCCTCTTCTTCATGTCTCTTCTACATCAACATGTGTCCCCTCTTCTTCATGTCTCTTCTACATCAACATGTGTCCCCTCTTCTCCATGTCTCTTCTACATCAACATGTGTCCCCTCTTCTTCATGTCTCTTCTACATCAACATGTGTCCCCTCTTCTTCAACATGTGTCCCCTCTTCTTCATGTCTCTTCTACATCAACATGTGTCCCCTCTTCTTCATGTCTCTTCTACATCAACATGTGTCCCCTCTTCTTCATGTCTCTTCTACATCAACATGTGTCTCCTCTTCTACATGTCTCTTCTACATCAACATGTGTCCCTCTTCTTCATGTCTCTTCTACATCAACATGTGTCCCCTCTTCTTCATGTCCTTCTACATCACATGTGTCCCTCTCTTCTCTTCTTCATGTCCTCTTCTACATCAACATGTGTCCCCTCTTCTTCATGTCTCTTCTACATCAACATGTGTCCCCTCTTCTCCATGTCTCTTCTACATCAACATGTGTCCCCTCTTCTTCATGTCTCTTCTACATCAACATGTGTCCCCTCTTTCTTCATGTCTCTTCTACATCAACATGTGTCTCCTCTTCTTCATGTCTCTTCTACATCAAACATGTGTCCCCTCTTCTTCATGTCTCTTCTACATCAACATGTGTCCCCTCTTCTTCATGTCTCTTCTACATCAACATGTGTCCCCTCTTCTTCATGTCTCTTCTACATCAACATGTGTCCCCTCTTCTTCATGTCTCTTCTACATCAACATGTGTCCCCTCTTCTTCATGTCTCTTCTACATCAACATGTGTCCCCTCTTCTTCATGTCTCTTCTACATCAACATGTGTCCCCTCTTCTTCATGTCTCTTCTACATCAACATGTGTCCCCTCTTCTTCATGTCTCTTCTACATCAACATGTGTCCCCTCTGTGGAAAGAGACTCTGAAAGTTTCAGGAACAAAGATTCTCTCTCTTTTTGATCCATTTCTATAAAAACCTGTCTGAAAATGAGCTGTTCAGATTTTGGCCACTTTATGATGTCATAACGGTTTTTTGGTTTGTGTAACCATTAGCCAATCAACAACCAAGGTAACCCCCCCCCCCCCCCCCCCCCCCCCCTTATCACCTGAATCTCCTCCTAGAGCACCATTGATTTCTTTGTAACCTAATATCTCTCAGAGGGGCGTGGGGAGGGGCTCCTTATTTCCATCTGAAGTAACAGACAGAGAATCAGCACTTTGGAAACAGGGCTGAGCCAAACATTTCAGAGACATGCTTTGTATATATCTGAGACCTACAATTTATTATTTTTGAAAAGCAGTATAATAGGGGAGCTTTAAGGGAATATCAGACCTGGTGTTTTCTGAAGGTGTGAATGAGGCCTGTGTTGATGAAGTTGATGGAGATCCCGAGAATCACAACAATCAGATTCTTGGCCACAGCTTTAATTAAAGAATCTGGAGTTCGACCAACCGCTGTCACAGTGACAGATGACAGGTTCATCTTTTGAAAAAGAAAAGGAAAACATAATATGAAGTAGATATTAATTATATGCTTTCCCTACAATAGTTATAGAATACCACAATATAACTGTAGATAATTAAGTTCAACCTGGGTAAACTATTCAAATACTTATTTTTAGTATGAATGCATTGTATTATTCTTCAAAGTTGAGGATCAAATTCATTACATTTTTCCGAATTATCAAAACTTTTGGCCCAGATTTAGCTCCATCATAAAGTGCATAAAATACTAAGCTTTATGAGAAAGTTAAATATAAGTAAACATCAAACAAACTACCCATAGGGTTCAAGATAACATGTCTTAAAACCTAGCAAGACATATTTGAGTCTGATACATTTCAGGCTCTAAAGTTGAAGAACATTGACCTTGTAGATTATGACAATAAGTTCAATGGAAATCTTGCCTAATTGCCAAGTTAAATATAAGAAAATCATATAAGAGGATATCATAAAATGCATTTGGGAGATCAAGCCTGCAATTAATATATTCAAACGTAAAAAAGGAAGCTTGAAAAACATTTACCTTAACAATAGTGCACATGGATCTTGTCTGACGGTGAAATCATTCTCAACAACGTCTTTTGATTTACAAGTAGTTGTTTAAGATAGCCCTGATCATATTGCTGTAGTTGATATACGGAGAAAATACACAATAATAAATATTTCAATTGGGGGAATGATGAATCAAAGAACCACCGTTCGCATAATACCAAGCATACACATTGACATCTTGCATTACTCTGTAGTTAATGTGAGGATTAATTATAAATATACTCTGATAACAGCAGCAGGGACAGAAGAACAAACGCAGGCCTAAAAGCAAAGCATTCATCTAAAATATATCAATATGTTGCCGCAATTTACTTTAATCCATTGAAGTGGAAAGTTGGTTATTGGAAAAAAATGATTTGGGAAAATCATAAAATAATAATAACCAGCATCCACAGTAGCTTTAAAATTAACTTTAGTTTGCTGTGAAAATAAATGTCCTAATGTTTAAATCAACATTGGGGATGAGAGGATTTTAAATATGGGAAACAGAAACAAAACAATTGCATTTGTTGCAGGACAAACAACCTGTAGACATACAGTCTAATCCATATGATGCATAAACAACAGAGCCGGTGACTCTGAGATAATGTTATAAGTTTAACATTAAAAGTAAAGAAACATGAGGTGAATGAAAAGACAGATCATTATCAGGGTTTAACTGAGGAGCTGATGCAGAATCAAATATTGCCTACCAAATAACAATATAATGATAATAATACATACAAAGTTACACAGTATATTTATTTTTCTAACAACTTAAAGGCACTTTACAATAAACAATGAATATAAGCAAGCAAAACAAACTTACATAGAAACATGAAAAAACTATGAAAATAATTATAAAACAACAAACTATAGACCAGAGAGTTGTGTTGCTTACCTTAACCAGTGCATCTAGACAATGACAGCAGCAAGGAAACCTCTGACTTTATGGGGTGATCCAAACCCATCCACACATTACTCAGGAGGGTATTCTTGCAGGTATAAGTCGTAAAATGCTGAATAAGTGTCCGTAACCTACATGATCTGCATTTCCCGGTCACGATCAGTTGTATTATGTTGTGTCACGGTAAATGTTGCGGCCGCAAGGTATTGTGGGAAAACATTTATTTTTCTTTCGTAAAGGAAGGTCCAGTGTTTCCTAAGCTAAAGGTGATTCTAAAGGAAGTTTCCATTTCTATCATCTAGATCAGGGGAGGGCCACATACAGAAAAATATACGAAGGGCGAGGCCGCTCACTAGAGGTATATTCCCTTGTAAGTTCAGTTATAAGTTGGAAAAATCTATCCATTGTAGGTCAACTATTATTGATACTTGAAAATGCTTTAAGATAAAAACAGCCTACTGTACATCACAGCTCTCCAGAGGGTGTTAGAGAAAAACAACTCACAGCTCAGGGTTTCATTTATTGTGTTGACAGCTCATTCCTTAAAACAGAAGCTTCAGATTGCTTATAATGTTTGGAAATATGAAGGGTATATTTCAAGGTTGTTATGTTAATTTGTTATTGGGTTTTTTCGTATCATCTTAGAAACATGTTCTTACAAGTTTAGAACATGTTTTCAACTTGAATTGACTGAATTTATTTGAACATATTAACTTATTAACACATGAATATAATATATTTGAACATATATATTTAAGAAGTACAATATAAGACAAGCAGAAGTTTATTATAATTAAGTCATTATACTTTTTGAATTTGCTGAGGGCCGATTCAAAATGGTCCGCATTTGGCCCCCGGGCCGTAGTTTGGACACCCCTGATCTATAATCAAAATAGCTCTTATCAGGGCTGCCGCTTAGAAACTTCCGGGTTATTTCACTCCGTTAGAAACCTTTTTAAGCGGAATTTACAATTCCACCACAACCTGGGACATTTCCCAAAAAATCAACTTTGATGAGTGTGAATCAAGCGGCAAACTCTGGGGCAGAGCCGGGAAGCCTATAAGGAAGTGCCTCAAACTGCAGTTCATCTAGTGGCCAGTAGGAGCAGTCTTCAGAAGGGAGCCATTTCCATAGAACCCCATGTTAAAATGCCCAACTTTACAGCAGAAATAAACATGTTTACATTGTTGTTAAAAAAACATATTCTCTGTATAGTTAGATTCCCCCTTCATGACAACTGTGGGGGGGGGGGGGGGGAGATATGCATAAATTAGGGCGTGGTCACATTGAGTGACAGCTCTGTCCAGTGACTGCTGATGTTAGCTTCCTGTCTCTCTGCTAGCAGCTCCGTGATGCTACAGGGACTCTGCCTGCTCAGCTCATCCGGGAAACATAACTTGACTCCGCCGTGTTTGTTGTGCTGGTGCCTTGTTGACTATTCTTCATGCTTATATCGGACTATTGTGACTCGCTCTGCGGTTAAAACAGACGGTGCATGAATGCGGTAAGTGAAATTTGAGTACTTTATATGTGTTTATGATTTTAATCAGCTACGTAATGAATGTTAAGGCTTGGGTTAGCATGTAAGCGAGTGGTAGCTACATCTGTGCTAACGATGCTAATCGTAGCCTCCAAGTTAAAGCATAATAGAGTGTTAAGCATTAAGTGGGATAATACTGTAGAACAAACGGCTTCTGTTTGAGGTTGGTAAAATAAGGTCATCTTTGTAAGTTAGAGATTTTATTCGGTAGAACTGTATGCATCACTAAGGTTAATTTAAATTCGCTATGCTCGATTATGTAGACGAGCTAACGTCAAAGTAGTGCTGAAGAGTGGAGTAGTGTATGTGAAATCAACCTCACAATAAGATGTGTGTATATTACAATTATTAATGTCATATTTCAAGATGATTACTTAGATATTACAATATGGTTGGTTGAGCTGGAGTTCATTATTGAACTTACACGTTAACGTCACAGTCATCTGAAGAACGAACCCAAACCTTGTTGTTTTTATTAATTGTATTACCAAATCGGTATCAAATAAATAGTAAGCATTGGTAACACCAATGCTTACTATTTATTTGATTTTCATTACACTTGTGAAACCGACTAATTGTGGCTGTAGAACGTGAACGTGTAACTTAATGCCTGCATGTAAGAACAATGAATAGCCTAGTCCAGTGGTTCTCAAATGGGGGTACGCGGACCCCCAGGGGTACGTTGGAGTACTGCAGGGGGTACGTGAGATTTATTTTATGTCAATGAAAAAATACAACATAAGTAATGCATTTAAACAAACTACTAATAGTAACTACTTTATTCAAAAGTTTACAGTAATTCTGGATAATAAAATGGGAAAAATAAACGGGGTGCTCTCTTTTCCTCTCCCTCTCCTGAAAGCCCGTCAGTCTCGTGCAGCTCGCTGAACCTGTAATAAATGACCCGACAGTAAAGAATAAATATATTCCTTATAACTAGTTTAGCTAGTTCCAGATAAACTAGCTAAGTGTGATAGGTCCGTCACAGCGGGCGGAGCTGTGATCCGGAAGAGCTGCGTGTTCTCCGTCAGTAGCAGCTGATCTGATCTCTGACCTCTCTCTCGCGTCCGGTTAGACTTCACTTGCGTTTATGTCCAAATCTATCAGATCTAGCTAGTTCTAGTTAATTATAAGACTGCCTGCTTATCAAAGGACCTAAACAATAAGCGTTGCTTGGCAACGGCTTGTGGCCGCAAAGTATAGCGCAGCATTATGCATATGTTTATATGAGGGGTCAAAATCCCATGCTCATAAAATGCTCATATATTTTTCTCTCTTCTTTCCCCACGCCCCAAAATAAATAAATAAATATTCAAATGAACGGAGTTTTAGCAGTGTGGGTTTTATATTAACAGAGTTACACATATTTCAAAACGTGAAGTGTAATAACTGCAGTTTGCCTCCCTGTCAGAATGACAAAGCTCCTCAGTGAAGCACAAGCCCATGTTTCACTAAATTGTACAACTTATTAAAAAGATCAGTTCAATGCAACTAATGTCGTCTTAGCGTTATTGCATAATGTTAAAATTGGTTTGCCATGAATTTAGTGATGGATTGTAAACATTTGAAATGTAGCATTTAAGCGTTACTCAGTTACAATGTTGTTGTTTTAATAAATCAGACACTGATGGTGGAGCGCTGTACTGTACCTCTTTATATAGGCTTTTTTCCCCTAATAAATTGTTTTTGTGCAAAAACAAAACACATTTAGTCAAATAAAGTGACAGACTAGGCCTGTGCAGTTGGTATCAGCTTTGCCCAGCATGGGCTCCTGCATCAGCCCTGGTCCTCCTCGCAGAGGAAAGACCCTCAGTCCTCGACAAACCAACAGACAGGACGTCCATCACACGGAGGTTTCTCCCTGAAGTCTCTGCAGCTCTCTGGACACCATGCTGTCTCAATCCGTCCACACTGAATATGAGATTGGGGAAATGAAAATAATAAATGTTTTAGACAATAAGAAATATAAAGTTAACTGTTGAGTTGCTCAGTTTTTTTAGA